AAGTAGATTGCCCCATCTTCCTTCCAAGGAGTGGTGGTGGGTTTGAACCGCCAGCCTTCTGGTTAGCAGTCAAATGCCTTAGGCACTACGCCACCAGAGATGATATTTCTACATATGTCTGTGCTGTAAGACTGGCCATATAAATAGAAGTTATAACTTAGGCAAAGTCAACAACTCTGAGGGAGCAAGTAGTTGGACCTGCGTGCTTGGGACCATGGTCAAGGGGACATCAAATTCAATTGTCATAACACACTACACAAAAACGTTGTTCTACATCCTACTTTGATGAGGAGCGACTGGGACTGAAAAGCTTACAAGCAGCCATCCAGATGCAACAGTGGGTCTCTCCTCAACCAGAACAAAGAAGAGTGAAGAAAATCAAAGATGCATGGAAACAATTAGTCCAAAGGACTGGTACACCATGTGATCCTCAGCCTACATCACCCTGAGACCAGAACTAGATGGTGCCAGGCTGCCACTGTCAACCACTTGGAGGGGGATCGGTGCAGGAGATCCTGGATAGAGAGGGAGAAAAATGTGGAACGAAACTCAAAATCATACAAAAAAAAAAAAAGACTAGACGTACTCATCTGAGAGAATCTGGTGGGACTCCCAAGACTATGGCCCGTAGTTACCCTTCAGGTCTGGAACTGAACTCACTCCCGTGGCTTCCAGCCAAACAACAGACAGGCATATGGGGTGAACACTGATATCCGGTAGATACACTCCTTGGAACCATCAATCATGGGAGAACAGAAGGGCAGTGTTTGCACAGGGAGACAGCTCAGGGGGCAGGAATGCGTAGGAAAGGACACAGGGAAGAGGTAACTAAGGGGAGGAAGTGGGGAGCTGTTACATTGTGGGGAATTACAGTCCATGTCATGAAACTAAATGTGTATGAACTTCTGTATGGAAAATGAATTTGTTCTGTTAACTTTCACTCAAATCACAATAAAAAATTTTTTAAAAAGCAAGCAAGTAGGTGTCCAGGCTCTGGTAGTTGCTGGGGGAAGGGTGCCAGGAGAGTGGGGGACCTCCCCCTGAGGCTGGCAAGCTGAGCTCCATCCATTCCGGATGGCCGATGGGGCTCCCCCACATCCTGCCCTGAGGCCCGACCCTTCTGAGGAAGGTTCATGAAGCTCAGGGGTAGGAGCGGGGATCACTATCGCCAGTAATCAGAGAGCGGGGCAGAGGCTCTGTGATGTGTGCCCCCCACTTGGGGTGTCCTGAAGAGCCTGCAGATCCACCTTTGAGTGTGTGATGCATTGAACTGTGTCCCCCAAAAATGGGTGGGGTTAACTCCTATACTTGTGGAAGTAAATAGGGTTTTCTTTAGAAGGCCATATTAGTACTGCAAAAGACTCTTCCAAGTGCTGAAGAGCAAAGATGTCTCCTTGAGGACTAAGGTGCGCCTGACACAAGCCATGATATTTCCAATCGCCTCGTGTGCACGTGAGAGCTGGACAACGAATAAGGAAGACCGAAGAAGAGTTGACGCTTTTGAGTTGTGGTGCTGGCGAAGAATGCTGACAGTACCATGGACTGTTAAAGAACTAACAGATCTGTCCTGGAGGAAGTGCAGCCGGAATGCTCCTTGGAAGCGAGAATGGCCGGACTTCGTCTCACCTACTTTGGTCATGTTGTCAGAAGGGACCATTCCCTGGAGAAGGATGTCATGCTTGGTAAAGTGGAGGGTCGACGAAAGAGGGGAGGCCTTCAACGAGATGGACTGACACGGTGGCTGCAGCGATGGGCTCAGGTGCAGCAGGGACTGTGAGGCTGGCGCAGGACCAGGCAGGGTTTCATTCTATTGTACGTGGAGTCGCTGACTCAATGGCACCTAACAACACGTTAGTGGAGAGTGTCCCCTAAATCTGTCACTGTTGAGCTGTAAGGAGCGGCACGGCCATGGAGACAAACACCAACGGGGAAGACAGATGCCACCAAGGAACCGCAGAAATTGGCAGAGCGCCTTCCCCCAGAGCCAGCTTCCCGTATTCCATCATCCGGCCTTCACCCCAAACCAAACCCATCACTGTTGAGTTGACTGCGCTCATGGTGACCCCCTGTGTTAATGGGAAGACCACGCCAGAGGGCAGTTTGTGGCTGTCATCTTTACAGCTGAAGGTCTCCAAGCCTTCCTCCGCAGTTCTGCTCGGTGTTCAATCCACCAACCCTCAGGTTCTAGCCGAACGCACAGTGCTGGCACCCCTCAGCGACCTTCTAGCTTTCTGAACTGTGAGAAAATAAGCTTCTGGTTTTTAAAGCCACTCGGGTGGGGCATTTCTGTCACAGCACCAGGAGAGACCCTCAGACAGAGGACACAGACAGCGTCAGCCTGCTGAAGGCTCAGTGGGCGGTCTGGTTGTGCTGGGGACGGATTTTGCAGACCAAGAGATGGACCACCAAGGGAGGGCTGCCGCCTTCCCAGCACCCCAGGCCCACGGCTGAATGCCATCACAGACCAACATTCTTTAATCACAAAGGCACTTGAAGACCCCTATACACCCAAAGTCCCCGCCCAGTGGCCCTGCAGACGTCCAGCCTGCTGCCCTCAGTGCAGGCATTCCTGGAGGTCAGAGTTCATCGTGTGCTGCGGAGGGCTCCGCGCTGGGTTTGATGAAGACACCTTCCATGGCCTTCCAGGTGTTGTGCGAGCTGGCGCTACTCATGCCGTGCACCTCGTACTGGCCGCGGATGGGGCTACCATACTGCTCACCGGTGACGGACAGGAACACCGACGTGCCCACGTGCTGGAAGCGCACAGAGGCCTGGCGTTCCCACTGCTGCCCCGAGCAGCGCACCGTCCACAGGTCCAGGTCGTCACCCTCGCCGTCTTCCCCAAAGGCACTCACCTCCTACGAGGGGAGCGGAACAGCAGTCACGCAGGGGGCCTGCAGGGCCCACCGGGCGTCTCGTCTGGCACAGACACTAAGGCACTCACACCCAGTGCCCTGCACCCTAACCCTCCCTGAACCTCTCTGCGTCTCACCCTCTCCACCTGTAACATCACCACAAGCCCCACTCCCAAAACCCCCACAAACAGGCTCCTCTCACAGCCCCATGCACGCCCCATCCATCCCAGGAGTCCGCCTCCTTTTCCTCTTCCCATGCCTCCCCACTGCTAACCCCTCCAGACACCCCCAGCCTAAATCCAACCCCCAGGCTGACAATCAAACCAAAAAAAAAAAAAGAAAAGAAAAAGATCCCCAGCCATTACCATCAAGTCAATTCCACGCACGGCAGCCCCATGTCAAAG